GATTGACATCTATGCTCCAACTTGAGGGGGAGTGTTGAAAGTGTTAAAAGAATTGATTTTATGTTTGTTAGGGTCTGTTTGGCTGATTAAAGCCTTTTTTTATTTTGATCTATTATTGTACTATCACTTAGTAGGGGCACAAGGGTCATTTCCCTTCTTATTTTTTCGCCCTATATATTATAATGAAGCTGGCGTCGCCAGTACTGTTCCATTGCCTCAACACTTCTTCTTCCTTCCTTCTTCTCTTCTTCTCTTCTTTTCTCTCCTCTTCTCTTCTTTTCTCTTCTCTTTGCTGTAACCTTCAATCAGATTTACTGTCAAGACACCCCATTACCAGAAACTACCAATCCACTAATATACTAGCCACTACATATGTAGCATTGCCCATCCGGTGGTAGGCAGTTGAGTGGTATGATACGTGCATTTGCATAAGAGTTTTTTTTGGTCCAGCATGTACATAAAAGAGTTGAGTGGTGCATAACATTGCCCATCCAGTGGTACATGCATTTGTTTGAATAACATTTCCTTTACCTGCAAGCCTTGAATAATATAAAACATCTCTCCATTTATTCTTATATAAACACCATAATACAAGAATGGCCCAGATTCCCTATAGACAATTGTCGAGGTTGTACCAAGAATTGTGAACTAGGTATCAGGTATACTTCATATTTTGAAGCCATGTTTTACATGGTGGTGCCATGTCCAGCACATGTTGGACAATATGTTCTGTTAATTGTCATGTAGATATTTCAAATACCAACATACTTGTTAGATCCTTGTTAGTCTGACTGATGACAAGCCTCATAGCCCACCATATTCTCTTGCATCAGATCTGCAATGTTTCTGGTTCTAGATTCTTTTCACTGCTTCTTGTGTATGTCTACATATATATTTCCTAGTGCTTGTATGTATGGGCAAGTAATTGCAGTCTTTTTGTTCCTTGAATAAACTTGACTATCCATATCATGTTTTCAAATATCATCACCCTTATTACATTGTTTTCTGTTCTTTGTTTCCTCTTTTCCTTTTGAAGGGTAATGTTTAATGCGTTGAACGTGATTGTCTTTAGTCAAATATTTTCTATCTTATCTGTAAATTTGCTACTTACTGCTATTGTGCAGCTTGTTGAGAAGTTCGGAATAGACCCTAACAATGCTTTTGCCTTCTGGGACTGGGTTGGAGGCCGATATAGTGGTAAACATGTTTATTACATGTTCATGGCATTTTATTGTTTACTTGAAGTTTGGGTCTAATGAAATTCTTTGCCTACCTTGTGGGCCTTTTTTGATAGTATTCTTCTTATTGCAGTTTGCAGTGCTGTTGGTGTGCTGCCTTTGTCTCTCCAATATGGGTTCTCAGTTGTTGAGAAGTATGGTGATTGCATCTATGATTCCCTGTGTTATCTGTTTACAATCTATTATGATCGTTGTGCTGTTATAGCTTTTGTATACTTTCACGTGATTCTGCTATGTAATTGCTTAAAATCTTACTTTCCCCTTTCTTAAAGGTTTCTAAAAGGAGCTTCAAGCATCGATCAACATTTCCATTCAGCACCATTTGAGAAAAACATACCTGTAAGGGCCTGACAGATCTATTTTGCTTTGTTTGTTTTTTTTTTTCAGAATGAAGAAATTTGTGTTGTCTAATTGGCAGATCGAGCACAATCCATCAATTGCATACTGTTAGCCGTAAATACATAGGCAGTGGGTCAGGCCTGGTTGTACCTCCGAAAGAATGCTGCCAGTCAATCCTAACCACCTTATCTATTGCATTGTTTTGGAAACTTTATTTGCATATGGTTAATAGTAGAAGAAAGTGTTTAACAGATCAGTTGCTCGTGGCTGTCAATTTGGCTTAATTCTTTGACTAGATATCTGAGTTGGGATCATCTAACATTAGACCCAAACAATGCATCTGCTTGTGGCTGTCAATTTGCCCTGGTTGTACCTCTGATTCGATTATTAATAATCCTAACCCTAATTACTTTTACATTTTATATAAAATGTAATTGGACTCGGATCTTACTTGAATTGGGTTAGATACACATCCAATTTGATTATTAAATGCATGTAGGGTTTGAAATCCAAATCTGAAATAATCTTTGGATATCGGGTTGGGTCTTGGACTTTTGTACTCCATCAAGAGCTCTTGGTTTGCTAATTTCTTTTCGGCAATCCATCAGATGGGATGCCTTGCATGCTCTCTTGTTGTTTTCTGTCTTTGGTTTTGACCTATTTAATAACATTGTATTGGTTTCATTGGGGTCAGGTGCTATTAGGTTTGTTGAGTGTTTGGAATGTTTCGTTTCTTGGATATCCTGCAAGAGTGAGTATTTATGAGATGATCAATATACACTATTAACTGCAATTATATGCATATGTTTCTGGAAATAGTTTTGTGGTGGTCACCTCATAACAACAAAATATTTTAATGTGCATTCAGGCAATCTTACCATATTCTCAAGCCCTAGAGAAATTTGCACCACATATTCAACAGGTATACGTTCTAATTCCCTATTTGGATTTCATTTCAAAGTTTCTATTTGCAATCTCTCTCTCTCTCTCTTAATCACTAAATCTACATGAATGTAGGTTAGCATGGAGAGTAATGGGAAGGGTGTATCAATTGATGGAGTGCACCTTCCATATGAGGCAGGTGAAATTGATTTTGGTGAGCCAGGAACAAATGGTCAGCATAGCTTTTACCAGCTAATTCATCAGGTATTTGGGATCCTATCTTAACATAATTAACTTACGTATAAAATGGCAGCTCATTATTACCCTCTATCTAAAAGGCAATGCTATCCCTACAACCAGGAAATGGTTTTTGAAGTTGTTATGACTTTAATATGATACATATGGTTGGATGACCCCAGGTTACCTGTTGAGCAGGTTGGACCTCAGAACTCACACCATGCTGCATTCCCTTATTTTAGCCTACCCAAAAGATGACATAGAGCCTGTCTTTCCATGCATTGTGTAGGTGTGGTACCAAATCTTACCAATGCTCAATGAATTGACCTGGAGGTAGAACCATTTTCCTCTCTATGTTGTGGTTCATCGGTTCAACCAGCTGGGTCAAGCTGGTCAACCTGTTGACATGTCATCCTTGTGTGTGTGTGGGTAATATACATTATCATATAATATATACATATATTCAAAATACGTGCTTATATTCTGCATAAAATATATATTTTTATTTTAGTTTTAATTTTTTATGCTAAAAGTTAAGACTTGAGGCCAAAAAAGGCATTCTTTTGGCACAAATAGTGGGGCTTTTGGTGTCTTGGAATACATAGATCGCGAAAAATTACCCAAAATAAAAAAAAGATCACCCAATTGAACAACTGAGCGCAAAGTTATGGCCTCCAGAAGTTAGGATAGAAGTTTAAAAAACTGAATAAAAACCAGCCAGTTTTATGAAACTGGGACCGGCTCACCAATTTCCTGGTTGGAATGGCCAGTTGGCTGGATTTTAGAGCCTGACCAAACTCTCTGGTGGACCAGTTCACGTTTTTTTGGTTGGACTATCCAGTCCTGTCCTGGTTCTATGAACACTACAATCACAACCTGGGCGTAGAGTTTGCATTCTGCTTATCTAGATATGCAAATAATTAGTTTAGTAAAAATGTACCAAATCCTTGAACCATGCTTTGTTGAGGTTTAACCAACACTAAAGATGCTCAAACATGGACATGTGGATCTGATTCTCTTTTTCTTGAGCAGGACATGAATATGGAAAATGGGTGTTCCATTCCATTTGGTATAGTAGTGCCGTGCTTTTGTATTTGTTTTTTTATTCTAAATGTCATTTTTAAATACTTGTCAATGTATTCTTGACATATCTGGACATCTTTGGAATTCCTAGTATCATCATCATCATCCATACCTTATCCCAACTATATGGGGCTAGCTACATGAATCCTGTTTTGCCAATCCGTTCTATTTAAAGCCATATCCACTGTTAAAGTGCTTAAATAATTTCTTACTACTACCCATGTCCTTTGGAATTCCTTGTATAAAGTGTTAAAATATAAGAAATCTTCCCACAATAAGGTATATTCTAGGAGTGTCATTGCAGTAGCCAGTGGCCCAGTGTCACACCAGATACATGTCATTTCCAACATGGGTATACTAGATATATACAGATATCAGGATAACCATGGCTATATGTGTGTGTGTGTGATTGGCAGTCTGAACTGTGATTGTTCAACTGAGTAATTTGAGTCTTTTAGTTGATTGCATTTTCTTTTCATTTGGTTCATCATTTCTCACCTGTTTTTTCATATGGGTCAAGTGCATTGGCACCATTTCTGCATCTATGGGATGTTATAGGCAATTTCAAACTTTCTCCATAAATTTGGATTTTTAGGAAATCAAGCTCCACCCTACAGGATAATAAAAAGAAAGGAGAAAAAGAGAAAGTAGATAAAATTGAAAAGAGAAGCACAACCACAATAAAGACAGATATTACGAAATTCAGTGACTTTGAAAACATGTCTAGTTAACCTTGCTTTTTTTTCTCTCTCTCTATGAGGCTGATTTTTATTGCCCGAGAATTAGGAGTGGTACATGGTCGTCTTAAATGCATATATATAAATATCCCTTTAGCTAAATTAGGACTATTTGGGGTTCATTGTAGTTAACTTCGTGGTAGTTGGTGCCACAGGGTTTGGGAACAGAGATGCATGTTCACATTGCCTTGTTGAATTTCGACCAATGATACTTCTTTCTGAAAGTAGTTACTTGGACTTTGGGAGCCTTTTTCTATTTTGTGAAATTTGTAATTTGATAAATGGCTTTGGAATAGCCTTGCTTGATGCATTTACAGATTCATTCTATTTATCCCTTGGAAATGTATTATAAAAATTCAACATTAGTCACATGCCAAGTAGAATATTTTATATGATTAAGCAAAGCCTTAGCCCAATTATTTGAGCCTTCTCAGTTTCCATGTAGAACCCTTAAATGCTTCTATTAAGGGCCATTGCCTAATTTGGCCCCCGGCCAAATTAGCATTTTTTGCATTAGCATCCTTTGGAGGGGTGGACTAGGTATGGGCCTAACCATTGGCATTTTTTGCACAAAGTGGCTACTTTGAAACTTGTACTACATTCTCATTCTTATCATCCCAAGATTTTACTTATTGCACTAAACAAGGGCCCCTTGGTTTCCACACTGTAAGTGGCAAATGTTTCTATATGCTAGGCTTGAAATAATCTTCAAATGATTATTCATTGTTATCTTCAAAAACCTTTGATTGCTTTCTACACTATACGTGGCAAATGTTTTCTTGTTTTGATTGGTACCACATGTGGAAATTTTCTCTGTTATGATCACATGTTAGGCCTTGTGCCAACCATTTGACACAATTTAGCTAAGCCTTGTCCCAACCATATGGGGTTGGCTACTTGAAATAATCTTCCAAGTAATTATTGATTATATCTACAAGCATGTTCTGCTGGAATTTCCAGGGACGGGTTATTCCTTGTGATTTCATTGGTGTTGTGAAGAGTCAACAACCTGTCTACTTGAAAGGTATTCTAAATGACTCCTGGTAGGGGAGTTAATTTTTTGGTAGCTTTTTAGGGAGAGCCTGTCTTCTGTACCTTTGATTTGCAATGGTCATTTCGAATCACTTTATTTCTCTTGTTCTTGATCTCAATGTAGGGGAGCTGGTGAGTAATCATGATGAGCTCATGTCTAACTTTTTTGCACAACCAGATGCCCTTGCATATGGGAAGGTAGGCCTTTTGCTGTAGTGTGAATCTCTAATCTTGTTTCTGGTGGAGATCTGCTAATCTATATTCTTCTATTCTTGGTGGCTAGACTATCTTTGGAAAATGATAGTCTTAATTCTTGTAAAAACTTTGTGACATATTCAAACTTCATAGTTGTTTAAACTTTGTAGTACTATCTAAATTAATTTTCTACATTTAATTTTTCTTTTTTCATGAGTCACCTGATGTTTCTTCTTGGAAGGAAAATTTTCTCATAAGTATATCAACCATTTCTTCAGAATGATATTTATGGCTGAACCATGGACTTTACGATGTCATATTCCACAATTCCATTATCTGTCTGCCTGAATATCTAACCTAATTTATTTTGCTTTATAGACCCCAGAGCAGTTATTAAATGAGAACGTGCCTCAACATCTTATTCCTCACAAGGTGATTTTCTCCTGGTTCCTGTTTTAATTTTCAAATTCTGACATGTTCCTTTTAACATTCAGTATTAGCTCATGTCTTGTTTCTGCAGACTTTCTCTGGCAACCGGCCATCCCTGAGCCTTTTACTTCCCTCTTTGAATGCTTATAATATTGGACAGGTATTTCTGCAGTTCTTTTTGCAATTTTACTTTTCAGTTTAGTTCTCTTAATTGTAATAATTTCTCTTGTCAATGTGCCGAGTTTTTGTTGAAGAAGTTTGAACTTCTTTCCATGTTTGAATTTTTTCTTCTATAGTGAACAAATTCTCCTATTTGTACTGGATGTTTTACTTTACTAGTTTTGTTTTGACTGCAATGAGATTAAGGGGATATCATTCTGACTGCAAGTGAAAATTGTACATTTTCCGAATGGGAAATCTCTTTCCATTGCATGTCCATCTGTAGAAGAGGGTAGAACTCTCCATTTCACATCTGTTGCTTTCAGGAGAATTTCCTTGATTTCATTTCTTGGCCCACTGAAATTAGTAGTGGTGTTATTGGCAATGGTCCTATAGAAATTGTATCTGAAAAGGTTGTTTTCATAGATTACCTTACTAAAAAGACTAAATGCATGCCCACTCAAGTATGATAATTTCATTCTGTCATGTTGTGAACCTCCTGAGGCACGGAAAAATGTTTGATTCAATGATTTACTGGATGTTTCAGTTTGTGGAAAAATGTTTGATTCAATGAGTTACTGGATGTTTCAGTTTGTTCAAAATCCTTCTCGTTTTACTAGCTTATCATCATCCAAGTGTGACAACGTAGGCTTTTTTTTTTTCAAAGCAAGGAGAATGTTTATGTTTATCATTGAAGAAAAATATATTACGAGAATTTTCAGTTAACATCGTTTGTATGCCATATTAGCACTCTATATAGAAAACAAACACAAATTGTCCATCCTGAATTTGGATCAATGCTCCACTCACTTTATTATACCCACATAACTTAGCTTTTCAACTCAATCATCATGTATGCCCATAATCCAGCAGTCCAGACGAGTCTCTTCCCTCTGCTGTTGCAGAACAATCATTTGTTTCCACATACACATCCTATTTACATGAAAATATGGAAGCATAGACATATTGTGGGGTTTAAAACACTAGATAACGGCTACTTGAAAACAGATGGAAGGTTCAAGGTGGCTTGGAAACACTAGTGATTATATCCTGTACCTCTAGAGGTGCGCTGATATTTACTTGGGAAATGCTACAATAGTGTTGATGGTAAGGTTTATAAATTGGTAATTCTTACAAAGGGAATGCTGTCCATTTTCTTGAATGGTGTAAATTCCAAATTATCATGGCTTTGGTAGTCAGAATAAGAAACTTAAATATCTTTGTTACTTTTCTATTTCTTTTGATGAATACCTAGAATTTATTAGAAAAAAGAAGAAAAAAAGAACCTATCAATAAAATTTCTGGAAAAAAAGAACATGCTAGAGGCTGAAACCAAAGACACCTCAAAGACACAAAAGGAATCAACAGGCCTAATGCAAAATGAGGTGATCAAACAGTAGCGTATATCTGTAAGGAACCAAGTCACCAACCTCACATAGCTGAGATTCAAGTACCCAAATGTTTCTGTCACAATCACCCACATCCAGTCCAGGTAAAATCTCTTTTTAAGTTATTCATTAATATCATGTCATTGATTTCAGAATTTCTGAGGTTTCTACAGAAACTAAAATTACAAGTAATACCACTTGTGAAAAGGGCACACACTTGGTAACAGGATTGTCTTTCAGGTGAGATAGGGCGGATGCATTGCTTTTGACCTCTGAAAATATACGATGTCAGATAATCAAATGCACTAAATTACATTCTAGCTAGACACAGTCCTTGAGTGACCATTTGTTTATCTTAGTTGAAAATGGTCTTGGCTGTTGATATTAACCCCACTAAGCGTAGGTGCTACTTTTTGGGATTGCCTTTGTCAGAGGGGCATCTTTCTGTAATAAGCAACAAAACACCGTGTCTTTGCCCCTGGATTTATGCACTGAGAACATCATTTCACCCAGAATGAAAAGAGAAAAAACTTCTTTCTTTCTGTTAATGCTCTTATCAACCTTTTTTTTTTTTGTGTGTGTGTTTTCAGCTATTAGCAATCTATGAACACAGAATTGCTGTGGAGGGTTTTATATGGGGGATCAATTCATTCGACCAGTGGGGGGTGGAGTTGGGCAAGGTATGGTGCTTTTCTTGATGCTATATTGCCAGCAGTTTCCATCTCTATGGTTCTTTTTCATGATGAGATTTGTTTTTCTATGTCTTAAAATGCAGTCACTTGCTTCTCAAGTTAGAAAGCAACTTAATGCATCTCGTATAAAAGGAGAGCCGGTTGAAGGCTTTAATTTCAGCACCACGAAGATGCTAAACAAATATCTAGAGGTATGAAATTGCACCCCAGCATCATGTTGAATGCTATGAGGATGGTGGGTGAACTTGCATGCTGGAACCAATCAATTACATGATTGTTAGGGAAGCTAAGGTTGCCAATTCTAGGACAAATGATCTTGTTATCCATAGGTAAAACTGTGACATGTGGGAGGTCAGAAGTTACCACATTGATATGTCTTCCCTCTCCCCTTCATGTGGGTCTAACCAAGGGAAGTTCCCTTGTTTGTCATTGGCCGTTTTCCTATATGACAAATGATCATATCTGCAACATTTCCATAACTGATCATGAAAAATTATCTAAATTGTTGTGTGTCTACCACCTTATCTCATTCCACAGATGCGATGCTAGTCGCTTCACAGGCATCTACTGACAATAGACATGCATTTGCACATGACATAGATTATATTAATTTTTATGATGCAGTAGCACCCTGTGTATTCTACCTGACAAATCCTGATTTTCACTTTGTATCGTTCTGGCTGTGGTATATATATAAAAACGTTTTCTTTTTCACAGGCGAAATCACGAGTTCTTGCTCATCCATCTACTATTCTACCAAAGATGTAGTAGATGTTGGTCGAGTTCAATAAGGCTTATACTTCAATCCCGTGGAGCATCTACAGATTTTGGGAATCGTGATAATACACTTGTATATTTGGAGATCCAGATACTGTCATTCGGGATATCAAAACCTACAGGTTGAGTTTTGGAGCTGACTGGCTTTGGCGTGGTTAATAAAATCAGAAGAAAATAAAAAAAAAGAAGGAAACTGGTGCTATCAATGAGTTCAACTTTGAAATAATTTTTGGCTAAATTAAAGTCATTTCAGGATTTGCAGATGTTTACATTTTCCATGGGCCTGCCAGCCCAATAAAACTTATTCTTGATCGGGGTTAGAGTGGGGTTCGGTTGAGGCTGACTCGATCAAATCTGTAATGATATTAAGGGTTTGTTTGGTTTGCAGTTGGAATTTGAATCAAAATCTCTCTGAATTGTATTCAGAATCGTCAAAATTAGAATCAGTTGGCATAGGATTTCATTCCCAGAGGGGAAAATGACTATCTCTCAAATGGGGGAGTGCTATCAACCAGGAAGGGCCGAAAGGGAAGGGGAATGGGATTCTGATTCCATCCAACCAACATAATGATTTATTCTGATTCTCATTCTAAATATCTGTTTCCGTGAACCAAGTGGATCCTTAAGGCTTAATTTGCTTAGTTTGGAATGAGTACAAATACAAATATGTAGAGGGAAAAATCTTGTATTTTGTATGTATTTAAGGGCAAAATCTTATATTTTGTATTATTTTGTATGTATTTACATTGTACATATTTGCATTTGTACTCATTCCAAATTGAGCCTAAATTTGCCAACAAGAGGAACTGGTTATAGGCTGGGTCGGGTAAAGTAGACTTTTTATTAATTTAACTAATTCTTTTTTTGTCGATCCATTCTTTTTTGCTAATTGATACGGGTTGGGGTTTTGGCTGGAGAAGAGCCGTCACAAGTCGTAACTCGGACACAAGGGTCTGTGGTGGCATCTTACATTGATCCTTCTTTTCGTACTTCTAAACATGGTTTTTAAAACCGATTCGGAGACCGAATCGGTTAGGGGTTCGGTTATTAGGTTGGAAGAATTGAACGGTTAGCCCATTCTGACAAAAAAAAAAAACGGTTAAAACCGTTCGAATGGTTTGAATGGTTAATTGCTTGGGTCAGTGGTTTGTTGATCAAAATTAATGATTTTGGGCAAATTTCTGGTTTTGAAAAAATTGAAACTGGTCACTTGACTGGTTCTCAGCTTTTTCGGTCTGACCGTTCGGTCTGGTCTGATTTTGAAAACCATGCTTCCAAATATTTTCTGCAAATCCGGTTACTGGGCAACCTCGGCGAAGGACTTCCTCTGTATGTGATGGAAGGTGGCTTCCTACTCACACCATTTGCATAGCCTTTTACACCCTGCATTGGGAATATCTTTATACTTTTATATTTTTTATGAAGATATATTCTCAATGTAAGGCTGCAAGGGATTGCGATTTCCTGTTAAGGTGGAAGGTCCTACGGGTGGCAAATTATGGGCCCATTTGCCCTCTGCCATTCGTAGTCTTTGGATTTGTCGATGGTCAGGCATTTGCTCCTAAAAGTGCATCTCACGCTGACCTCACAGCACATCTGGATTATTTCTTGGCATTTGATCAATTCTTTAAAGTTGCTTATACTTAAAAAATACAGGGTGACGTACAGGCCTACCAATGATATCGGAAAACCTGGATTTTGAAATATGGATTCAGTCAATAATTGGATTTGATTTGGATTTTATTCCATTCGATCCGATTAATATTTGAATTTGATTATATTATAATTAAAAGGGAAATTTCCAATAATTAGATTTAATATATAAATTTTATATAGTTATAATTAAAAGGGAAAATTCCAATTAGTACCTTGTACTTTGGGGCTAGTGCCACTTTTATCCCCAAATTTTAAAATGCGACAATTCAGTATCCGAACTTTTAAAACGTGACAATCCAATACCTACTATTAATTGACTTCAGATATCCTGTCCACACCTATCCACAATACACCACCTCCCGTGAATTGGGAACATATGTTCTCCACGTTTGCCTGCGATAAACGTGGCTAGGCTTCTCGTGGTCAAGAGATCTGGGCTCCTATTAATTAATTGTTTAACTAGCCGTTAAGTGGCATTTGAAAAAGATACAGATGCCCTTCAAGTGTCATTTAATTTTGTTTTTCAACCATTTAAACGTTGACAAAAAATTAATAGTCCCAAATGCTTGCCTCTTCCATTCAAGAAAGTTGTGGTCATATTTGAGTGGGCATTCTAGTGACCCCAACTTTCTTGAATAGAAGAGGCAAGGATTTTGGACTGTTAATTTTTTGTCAATGTTTGGATGGTTGATAAAGAAAATTAGATGACATTCAAAGGGCATTTGGGTCTTTTTCAAATGTAACTTATCGGCTGATTAACAGTAAGTTAACGACAAGTACTGGATTGCCATGCTTTGAAAGTTCGGGTACTGAATTGTAGCATTTTAAAGTTTATGGACCAAAGTGACACTAGGCCCAAAGGACAGAATACTAATTAAAATTATAAAAGTATATATTTTATATATTATATTATATTATATATTAATTTATATAATAAATTCAATATGCTATATTTACATTAATTTTTTATATTTTAAAAGATTAAAGTAGAGTTGTATTAAATCTGAAGGTTTATTCGATGGAAGTAAAAATCGATGTTTTTGACCCTAATATCCGTTTGATCAACAGTTTATATTTACGGTTTACCCATCAATTCGCCAAATTGGCAACTCAAACAAACGAGAGACTATTCAGTGGGGCATTTTTGGATTTTCATTGATTTTAGGATGTAAAGAGATGATTCTCATAACGGTTTTTTACAAAGGTGGATTTAAGTAAAGTGATTTTATACAATTGGGTGTGTATTAGTCAAATACAAAAATATAGGGTACGTTTTAGGAGTTGGGATCTCCTTTTTTAACAAAATACATTTGACACCGTACATTTTACTATGAAACTGGGCCCGTTACACAAGTGGGACATGTATAAGATGTGCGGTGGAAGATGATGTTATCAAAACTAGTCCGCATATGATGGAAACTGGAAAGTATGATGTGATGGCATCAAAGCAGCTCTAAAGTCTCTCCAAAGTCATTAGCTGATTAGCATCACGTGCTGACACAAACTCGAAACATACTCAAAATTTGGTACTGCTGTAAGCTTTTAGTGGACGGTCAGAGATTGATTTCCCACCATTCCAACTTATACAACAAGCAACACTCTATCTCTCCCCTCTCTTTGTTCTTCCGGTATTTCTGCTGTCCAGGCATGCCACGTAGGATTACGTCTCTGACATCAACTTTCATCTCGCCTATTTTTTTTCCCTGATTCAGTACGAATCGACTAGTAATAGGGGGTTGGAATTCAGAATTTTGCATCGTATGTATCCGTACTTCTTCGTTTCTCTAAAGCGTCTGCACGTGGAAATAGTCAGCAGACACGTCAAGTAACTTACAACTTTGCAGACTTTTGAGCATGAGCCGTGGTACACGTGGGCCCGGTGGAATCCAACTAACCCGCTGCCCACTCAGCCCCTGGCGTTTGAACCCTGTTGGAGGTCACCAACTCACCATGTTTGACGTTTGACGCTTGACGCCTTCTTCTCCAATCTCTCTTTTTTTCTCTTTACCCACTACATTTGTTCTGCTGAGCTGAAACAGGGTCGTCCTTCTTCTTCCCCTTTTTAACTTCATTGATCCGTTGTCAAAACATCCAATTGTCTTCGTTTCACGCTTGAATTACGGGAAGAAATGGGAATTAGGGTTTGGATTGGTCCCGAAAAGGACCTTTAATGGCGAGCAGGTATTGATTTTTATCGTCCGATTCGCTCTAGGGTTTGAGATGTCTGTTGCCGAATTGAAGGAGCGGCATATAGCTGCTACAGCCACTGTCAATGCACTCAGAGAACGGTTGAAGCAGAAAAGAACTCTTCTTCTCGACACTGATGGTAGTTCAAGCTGCTACAGCCACTGTCCGAACTTTTTTTTGTCTTTTTTTTTTTCAAGAAACTCTTTGTGTTTCGTGTTCTTAGATCCGTTTTCTATGTTCTGGTTTTACAGTTGCCGGGTATGCCAGGTCGCAGGGACGAACACCAGTTAGTTTTGGCCCTACCGATCTGGTCTGTTGTAGGATATTGCAGGGGCACACGGGGAAGGTAAGACTTTTCTGTTCTTATTTACTGGACATGTATTGGTAATTAAAGATCCTTCATTGATATATGCTCCCGTCTAACTGCCTCGTTCCTACGCTTAATGGATGCCATGTGGAATGATAAATTGCATAGTCAGGAGAATCCAATGGATGCGACTAGTTGAAATGCTTGGCGAATCGAGTGAAAACATTTGGAAACTTTTTCAGTTTTGTTGTGTATTAGATTACTCAATGCCAAAAGAAGACGTCAAAAATATAGAACGAATACTATGTTTCAGATCCAACAAATGTGATTGAGGTTTTAATATTACATATTCAAATACGTTAACTTTCTTTGAGATATTTCTCTTTTGAGTTCATGAGTTCAATTAAATTTTTTCCCCGAAAACTTCTTTATAGTCTAGAAGAATGGAAGGGTGGTTTTTCCCCTTCGAATGCTCTGTCTCTCTAAAAGTCACATGAGCCTTATGCCTTGACGCCGAGACTCAAGAAACTAGCCTTGATGCTGCTCAACCTAAAAGTTAGGTGCCTGAGAGTATAAGCCTATGAGGTACATTCCTCATGAGATGCCTTCCGTCCTGTCTATAAGTGGTTGGCTACACGAATCCTGTTCCACCATTCTGTTCTGTTTCATATCATGTCCATTGTTAAATTATGGGGCCTTAAATCATTTCTCACTTTAGCCCATGTCCTTATCTGTCTGCCCCCAGTTCTTTTAGGTAGGGGTGCTCACGGTTAGGTTAACCGAACCGTGGGGCTTCTTTGAACCGAACCAGTACTAAAACCGGTAACCGAAACCAAATCGAAGCCAATCGGTTAACCATCGGTTTTTCGGTTTTTTGATTTTTACAATATATTATAAAAATATATAATAAAAAATTATAAATATATATAACAATATTATATTTTAAATAGTAAATAATATATATTTATATATAATTCATATTTATTAATTTATAATATATATAATATATAAAATATATAGAAATATATGTATACTGGTCGGTTCGGTTCACCACTGGTTTTCTATATTGGTTAACCGAAACTGAACCAGTACCTTAGGTTTGTTAAAAATACCAAACCGAAACTGAACCGACCGGTTCGGTTAACCAATTTTTCAGTTCGGTTTCGGTCGGTTTGGTTTTTCGTTTTTTTTTCTCACTCCTACTTTTAGGCCCTTCAATTTGTAACAGATCACTGCTTTCACTGGTACTGTATATGGTCTTTTCATTACATGCCCAAACCATCTTATTCTCTGCATGGTTGAGATGCCTTTTGTGTTGTGTTTAAATGCATGTATGGCTATTTGTGTTAAAATTAAAAATTGTTTAGAGGTACTCTTCTGCATTTAAAACTTTTTAATTGTTATTGAATGGACTGTAAGAATGCACGACCTTCTCTAGAGCTCCTAGTAGTATTATGGTTCTTTTTATTTGATCTTCTATTCATTTAAATGTTCTTTCTACATGATATACTACCCTTGTGCATGCTTCTATGCTTTTCCTCTTTTTAATTTTATATTTTTCTTAAAAGAGCACGAAATTTAAGCCTCACAAGTTCTAATAATGAATGACACTTCTGGCTGGAAGGATATTTGCAAAATGTCCTCTTCGTGTCATTTTGATTTTTGACAAAATTGTTATTTTCATTCGTTTTTAGGGATTATCTTCATGCATTTTTTTTATTGTTGTTGTATTTACTTTTGGATTTACTTTCCTGCAGCTGCAATTGATTTTAATGTAGGTTCTAGTTATACTCGTGGGTTTTGCATGGATACTGTGCTGTAAAATTGGATACAAAATTTACGTAAGAAATGAAATATATAGCAGTTTCCTTTTGGATGTCTTTGCAACAGACTTATCTTGGTGTGAGGACGGGGATGTATCAATTACTATCATAACTTCAAACTTCATTCTCCTTTCTCAAGTTATCGCCCTACTTGAATAGTGGATACAAAATTTACATAAGAAATGGAATATATTAGTGGTTCCTAGGCTTGGCAACGAGCCAAGCTTTTCACGAGCTGCTCGAGCCCAATTCAGTGGCTCGATTATTAAACGAGCCAAGCTTGAGCCTACTAGAGCTTGGCTCGTGAAGCTCGTGAGCCGGCTCGAATATATATAAATATATATATATATATATATAATAAAAAATAATATATATATAATAAAAATGTTATAATTATTAATTATTATAATTCTTAATTTTTTAAATATAAAATAAATTTATATATCTAATTTTTATTTTTATAAAATATTTTTTTCTCAAATTCGAGCTCGAGCTTATGAATTTTTGACTCGAGCCGAGCTCGAGCTCAATGTTCTGGCTCGAACCGAGCTCGAGCCTTGTAGAACAGTCTTGAGCCGAGCTCGAACCTGGTACTATTCGGCTCGGCTTGAATCCACCCCTAGTGGTTTCCTGTTGGATTTGTTTTTGCAACAGACTTATCTGGTGTGAGGATGAGGTTGTACTAATCACTATCATAACTTAAAACTTCATTCTTCCTTTTTAAGTTATCACCCTACTTGAATATTGCTATTTTAGGATCAGTCCAGTTGCCCTTCTTTATATAGTTAATCATTTATCAAGAATTAGGACAGTAGAGAATGGAGCATTAAGAGATGGAACTAGCGGAGCTTCAGGTCTGCAAGACTTTTGGTTGGATTGAAATTTTCTCTTGGTGAACCTTTTAGTTCTTTTTATTGCCATACTGTTTACATTTTTTTTTACCAGTGTTGGGGGCATTCCTGTATCTTGAGTGGAGTCATAGTGGTGTAGTTATTTTATTTTATGATCTATGCTGGTTTTTGGATGTTTTATTTCATGATGGAAAGTACCAATAACATCAGAGCTGCAACAGACATGTAGAACTTGTATCTGTGCTGGATTTTTTGGGTCTTCATGCATTTTAAAAATTGCCACCATTTTTGTCATTTTCTTATTCTACAACTTCCATAACTGCTGCAACTGCATCTTTTGCTTTACTTTCTTTGTCTGGACATCAGAAGCTACTGATTGCGGCCATAAATGCTCTCTTAGATATCTGTAGTAACATTAATCTACTAATTAGTCTCAAAAAGAATTAATAAATTTTCTAAGAAATCTGCCAGGTTTATTCATTGGACTGGACTCCTGAAAAGAATCGAATTGTCAGTGCATCACAAGATGGGAGGTTAATTGTGTGGAATGCTCTAACGAGCCAGAAAACTCATGCTATTAAGTTACCATGTGCATGGGTCATGACATGTGCCTTTTCTCCAAATGGTCAGTCTGTTGCATGTGGTGGTCTTGATAGTGTCTGCTCTATCTTCAATCTAAACTCTCCAGTTGACAAGGATGGGAATTTACCAGTATCAAGGATGTTAAGCGGGCACAAGGGTTATGTATCTTCATGTCAGTATGTTCCAGATGAAGATACTCACCTAATAACCAGTTCTGGTGATCAAACGTGTGTTTTGTGGGATGTTACCACAGGCCAGAGGCTTTCTGTGTTTGGAGGTGAATTTCCATCAGGGCACACAGCTGATGTACTAAGGTGTGTATAAAGATCATGTCCACTGAGTTGAAGAATATGAATCTCTCTCTCTCTAATATCAGTACTTGCCTTGACCTTATTTCAATACAGAAACCATCTCTACATTTTAGTCCATTTGTTGACATCACTCCCCACATTCTCTATCTCTCCCCTCTTGCACATGCAAATGCCCACTATTTGTGATAGAAGATGCAGCCTCGCTTTATTGTGCCTGTTCTGTCACACATGTCTCCTAAATGCCCACTATTTTCTGTGGAAGATGTATTTTATTTTTTAGTTGATAAAGATCCTCTCATAATTGATTGTTTTGATATTCTATATATATGTATATGTATCTATGTATATTATTTTTTAATAATATATATACATAGATATACAATGCTCTTTTTTCCTTCCAAATGAAATCCTGAATTTATAGAAATTCTATTCTTTGTTCTTGGAATTGACTTCATGCCATTATTTGGTGTTTGGATATACTTTGATGCAAGGATCAAAATATCTCAATGTATCGAGGTGTATCGGTCGATACATATCGTATCAGGCCCCATACAGGGGGTGTTTCGGGGTTTGGCCTAGTTCAGGGGGTAAACCGGCCTTAAACTGACCCCTCTGAACCAGTTTCAAAGAAAAAGTAAAAAAAAAAAGGCGAACAAAGATACATGCCGATACGCTACGCCCCTACCTGTATCGATATTTTGAACCTTGCTTTGATAATATTCAAATCCAATAACCTTCTTTGACTTTTGTAGAACAATTAACCTTTTCATTTTCCTTTTTTTGGGAGGATGGGTCTCCTTTTTTTTTTTTCTTTTCTTTTCATTCTTAGTACTTGAACAATGAAATTGTAACCTTTAAACTAGTATAGCTACCTGTAGTTGAACAAACTTTAGGGAACTGTTTAATGAGAGGACATTAGAGCTCTATAAAGTTCCCATAAACTTTGATGTTTTCTTAATCAACTTGCTTCAAAGTCTAGTTCAAATTGGGATTTGGCTGTTAGTCAGAATTTCCTTTCTTACAATGTGAATCTGTAAATGGAAGGCTGATTAATTATGACTTGTTACTTTCATTTTCTTTTAATTTTCAATTAAAGCGTCAAAAATAAAATTTTTATTGTCTCGTTTAGAATGCGCTTATTTGATGCCCAGATGCATTTATTTACATTTTCTATTTTAAAAGTTTATCTTTATTGCAAAAAATGATTTGCATCTGATATGACATTAGATATCGCATAGACACTTCTATAATATATTTAACCTGAGCATTTGATAAATGTATAAGATAGCTAGAAGATGAAAAATTACTTTTAGTAGGAAAAGAGCTTGTTGAGGTAAGGCTTTGTTGAGTTGAGCAAGACTTTAGAGAGAGAAAATAAAGGGATTGGCAGAACTAAGGAATTAGTGTGAACTAACCTAACCTGTTGGAATAAACTTTCAAGTTTAAATATATGGTGGTGCAATCCGGTCAGTCAAAATTCCTCATGCAGTTCTTTTTGAATTCTAGGATGGGCAATTTCCTAGATGTGACTTTTATAGGGTTTAATTCAACTGAAGTGCTGGAAATAGTTAGTACATTCAGTACTCCTTTCTACAGCTGTAATGCAGACCAATTACTGCAGATTGATTCACTTTGTTCTTTCCAATAAGCAAAAAATAGCACCAAAAACATAAAAGGAAAAAAACAAATAGAAACGAAAAATGCATTAGCCTAAGAGAGAATTAGAAAGAGAAAGAGTGTAGGAACCCTAGAACCACTCTAGGATGTTAGGGAACTCACTCACCAATACAGGATAATTCATAATTCCATCAGCAGACTTCAGCTAACATAGGACATACTTAAGAAGCTGGCCCCTGATAATAAAAGTACCACTGAGGCTTCATTCCTCATCTTGTGAACCAGTGACATTGAAAAAGACCTCAAGGTTGATTAGGCTTCAATAGCTCCAAGCCTTTGTTGCTAGATGTATGATAGAATGCATTACATGTCTTGTTATGTAATCCATTTAACTAGAGGGATGGAATTCAGTCTTCTGTGAAGAAAAAAAAGGAAGTTAGAATGCTTTCTACTTTTTCTGCTAATGTGTAGTAATGATCCACGGCAGGTAACTGGTTTCCCTGATTCAACCAAAGAACTCACTCAACAATTAAGGATCTTAGTGGTTTTAGGGGGAAACACCAACCAAATAGAGAATATTAGAACCTAAAACAAAATACTATAAGGATGAAAATATAAGAGGATTTAAGAAGAAACTTCTGGAGAAGGAAGTGGATTGACAGAAGGAGTGAAGGGAAGATACCTTGCAGCTTCGTGTAAGTATGGACATTGATTCTCTAACATTCTTTATTTGTTTAAATGGTCCTTTCCCCGCATTATCCTTGATTTCTGCAATAATTACCATTCAGGAGCTCTTGTGGAAGCTCAATAGACTATAGATGGCATTTGGAGGAAAGGAGAATTTGGGTAGATGGATTTCTTGTAACATGATAGATTTGGAGAAGGCTTGCAACTGACTTCCTTAATTTTATCCTTGAACAGAAGGGATTTGGACTGGTGTTAGGGACAGCGATGAAGAGTTCTAGTATGACTCATTTGTTGCTCTTTATTCCTAAAAGGCTTGTCAGTTGCTGTCAGCTAATGAGGTTTTGCACTGGTTATCTTTCTGTTCTATATTTTCTTGCCACTATATCATTATAGGTAATATTTTTAGTAGGGTATGACAGAAAATACTAGAAGATGAATCTTTTGAGAAATGATTTGAAGTCCAAAGGGGTTCCCTTTTTTGTCAACTTCATATGTGGCAACTCATTCTGACTTGTGTGGTCATTGTCTAGATTGTTTATGCAAGCATGTGCTGAATGTTTCAAGTAGACTAATTTCTTTTTTTCTTCCTTTCATTCATCAGTGTATCAATCAATGGATCCAACTCAAAGATGTTTGTTTCTGGTTCATGTGATGCAACTGCCCGGTTGTGGGACACCCGTATTGCAAGTCGAGCAGTGCGCACATTTCATGGCCATGAAGGAGATGTTAACACTGTGAAGTTCTTCCCAGATGGACAAAGATTTGGAACCGGCTCAGGTGATGGAACATGCAGGTTATTTGACATGAGAACTGGGCACCAGCTTCAAGTCTACCATCAGCAGCATGCTGCTGCTGATGGTGAGGTTCCTCATGTGACCTCTATTGCCTTCTCAATATCAGGCAGGCTTCTGTTTGCTGCATACTCAAATAATGATTGTTATGTATGGGACACCCTAGTGGCAAAGGTATGTAAGTTAGTTATATGTATTAAGTTTAATCCTTCTGACCATATTGTTACCAGTTTTTACAAGAGGCTAACACCCAAATCCCTCACCTTCCCCCCTCCCAAAAAGGGTAAATTTCATCTTTCTCCCCTATATTTTACCTAAAATTATAATTTCTTCTATGCACTTTCACTACTTATATTTTGTGCCCAATAAATAGTTATTGGCATCTTTGTAAAAGAATTTGAAACTTATTGACATCTTTGCTCCTAACGAGAACTGGTAAAAACAAGTAAACCAACAAGGATAAATTTCATTTTCTACTAACAAGGATAAGTTTCATTTCCTTTTAAGTTAATTGTCTAATATGTACCTATAAATTGAAGTTTGTTTCAAAATATCCCTTACAAAACCTAAACAGATTTAGCATTTTGGTGGGTTTTTTTTTTGCCCCAATAAAACCAGTAAAATAAGCAAAATACATTAACGATTACCTTTTGGGCAACTCTAATTTGTTTCAGAAAATATTTTATGTAAGAAAATTGCCTAAAATAGTTACATGTAAAATGTGCTTCTAGTTGTGATTTGGACTTTAACATATAATTGAATTTATAGTAATATTAAATATTTAAATGTGTTATAGTTTAACTGATAAAAAAACTTTTTTTTTGGTACATAACTGATAAAAAACATTTGACCTAGTTTAAAACTATTTCATTTTAAATTTTAAGAACGAATGAATGGTGTATTTAATAAACCTTCTTAGTTCTTAAGTTGAAATGATTATTGAAAAGTCTAACGTCTGAACTTTTATCTTGGTATTCATCAAATATTCATAGATTTTGATTAAAACATTCAACTTGCTAGCTGCAAATGTAGAAAATTGAAGCGTAGGGAATAATTTGTAATTTTGGGTATGCGTTTGGGGAGGAAGTGAAGTTTGTATAAATAATTAATTATGTTTATTGGGTAAATTTTTAAATAGTTAAAATATAGGGGAGAATTTATAGTTAAAGGCGAAGTTCAAGGGAGACAAATAAGCAGTGAAATTTGTCCATAAAAATGGGCATCTTTTCTACTGCTGCTGGAATTGTATACATGGAATGGTGTAGCCTCGGGCTACATCCACCAATAAAAACTCGCCACTGTATCTTGTGCATACAAGACACACAAGACACTTGTAGCCCAAGGCTACACACATGGTGTAGCCAGTGTGGCTATTGAAGCGTATTATGATTTTGTTTTTCCTTTTATCTCTTTTACTCTGTAAATTGATGTTTATCTAGTATTTTAGTACTTTGATTTTCATACAATGGTTTACGCACATGAACTTGTCAGCAAGGTCCAAAGTATTGATACTGTTAGTGTCAAGTATGTAGGGGTATTTCTGTCTTTATACTTATGTTGAGGTTGCTGATCTGTAATATTATATTAGAACTAGTGTCCCTTACTTAAGTAAGGGCACATGTGTCTTTTCCATTATGTTAGTAATATAAAACATGTCTGGCCAAATGGGAGAGGTAATTTTTCTCTCATTCGAACCAGCCTTTTCTTCTCTCCTTTTCTCCTCTTTTCTCTCTCTTTCTTTCTTCTTTCTTCTTCTCTCTTCTTGGCTGTTATCAGACTAACAGAACTCAAGGGCAGGCCGAATCATAATAGATACAACCAACTGTATCAGCAGGGGTGTATCGATACTTTTTAAGCCACACGTTTTTTTTTTTTTTAGTTTTTTCAAATAATCATTTTTATACATACTTTTATATAATTTAATCAATAAAAAATTGATTTCCCAAAAGCACCTGTAAACAGGTGTATTGAGAAGCCAACGATACAATACAATACGCCCAATTTGGGGCATATCGTATCAATACTTTGAACCTTGCTTGTCAGACTTAAATGTCTGAATTCTTTTACTTTCTGTAAACTGATGTTTATCTCATGGTTAAAAAGAAACGGCCCAGAAATGGAACCATTCTGGCCACCGGTTTCTGGGTTGATGGTTCGACCATCCGGTTCGAATGGACAGCCCGTTTTGACAAAAAAATTAAAAAAAGGAAATAATTAAAAATAAAATGGCCAAAAACCGTTGAATGGGTCAACGGATTGGCGGTTCGACCGCCCGGGTCAATGGGTCATTGACTGGTTCAACGGTTTTTGGCCAGGGACCGGGTTTGGGTTAAGACAGAACTGGTTGCCTGGACGGTTCCCGGGCCAAATGGTCCAACTGTCCAGGTCAACGGCTGTTCGATAACCATGGTTTATCTAGTATTTTAGTAGTTTGATTTTCATACAATGGTGTAGACACATTAGCTTGTCAGACTTAAATGTCTGAATTCTAGGAGTTTACTTTGGCTACATCAAGGGTGTACCTCCAGGCTACGTATCCCAATCAAAACAAGCTACTTGGTCTTGTTGTATGTTCTTCCAAGATCTTGCTATGTGTAAAACTTAAAGGTTCTCTTAGAATATGGTAAATGGTGAAGCCTAACAAGAGAACTAAATGTTTCCTTTAAGTGGGTAAGAAGAGCAGCAAATGGAATGGCAGATTCTCTGGCCAAACAAGGGGCTATGAGACGGCAAATGTTTGGGCAAATCTGTAATTTTTGGTGACTTGGTATGGAATTTACACCCCAGCTCTTGTAATTCCTAAACTTTCATTAATAAAATCCCTTTTCTGCTGATCAATGGTGAATGGTGAAGTTTAAATTCTCTTAGAACATGAGAGTGCGCTAGCATGGGAGATTGTGCATAAAATAAAGTGGCCTGTTTTGATTGGGGATGTAGTCTGGGTCTACTCCCATCAGTCCTATGGTTTGTCCAAAACCAAAGTGAACTCAAGTTTGACAGGTATTTCTACATTGGAGCAAAAGTTTTTGCCCCCAAGGCTGTTTTTTGGTAAGAGTGCAGATGCTGAACCCAATTATGAATTCCAAGACATGTTTGCATTCAAAATGGGAGTAAAGTTTCTCAAAATTGGTCAATGTAAAAAAGGTGGATTCCAGTTTTGGAATTTGCGTTTGTACCCATCACAAGCAAAACCATTTGGTAAGAATAAAAAATTTATCAATACAAAACTTAACCAACTTTACATTTTCATGAACAGTGCATGTTTGTGTTTGCACTTTTACATATTTGTACAACGGATCAAGCACCAAAAGAATTGTTGAGCTATCTACTTGAAATGCATCAAGAATTTCTATTTGAAATGATCTCTCTTTGGACGCAAGGCTCAGTTTGGAAAAAGTACAAATACAAATACGTAGATTGCAAAACTTTGTATTTTGTATGTATTTGTACTGTATATATTTGTGTTTGTACTCCTTCCAAACTAAGCCTAAATAAATTGTGGAAAATCCTGTAGGCAACCAAAAACATAGGTGTGTTCTGTTGTTGCACCATTGCATCGGCATGTATGGCTCTACATATAAATACTGCCATGTAGTCAGCCTATGAGAAGGTGGCCATGGAGGTACTTTCTTGAACACCCTTGCTTCTGGTAGGACTGACTAGAGTCCTCTTCAAGAATTCGAAACATCCCGTGTCATGGGATATTGGTCATTTTCAACTTGAGTTTTGTGAATCTTGCAACTCCAATTTGTATTTACATTCAATGTTTTTACCAACATTGGGAATTTATTCAGTGCTATGCTAAACTTTGGTGAAAATTCTCTTAAAACTACTTTATGTCCCTATCTCAGGTGGTTCTAAATTTGAGATCTTTGCAAAACTCTCATGAGGGCCGGATCACCTGTTTAGGTTTGTCAGCTGATGGAAGTGCCTTGTGTACAGGAAGTTGGGATAAGAACCTGAAGGTTAGATTCTCTACAAACCTGTTAATTCTATTTCATGATGTTTGTGGTATGCATAAAACAAAGCACCCATTCTTCCTACGTTTAAGCAGTGTGTTATTCTGTCTTCTAATCTTCTTTATTTGATGGCCATATCTCATTTTGAATGCGTAATAACCATAAAATGAAGTAATAAGGTTCACATTGATTCTCCTTCGATGAATCATTTAAGCTCTGTACGTTCATATCATCATACGTAAAAGCAGACGTGAGGCACAGTGGCCAAAAACCTTGATATAGATCAGCAAATGTTTAGCAGATACAATTTTTGTTTAAAATCAACCGCAATTTCCTCACACGTTTTGCTCTGAATATTTCTTTTTTGTTGGCAGATTTGGGCTTTTGGAGGCGACAGGAGAGAGATCTGAGTTTTCCAAGCAGAAAGGTTACAAAACTCTGGTTTACGTGGATTGTGTTGCACTGCTGCAAGTCATGTTCTTTCATCCACTTCTCAATTCCTAACAGGAATATTCATGGGACAATCTTGACTCTTTGATCAGGTGCTGCAGTGTCTCTACGCCTTGAAACATGTAATTCGTTCCAACTTTCTTCTTTTAATTCATTTTGAGTAAAACATTGCGATTAGGAGAAAGGAGGCCAGGAGAAGAGACTAGAAAGGAGAAGGAAAAAACATGAAAAAATAGAAACAAAAAAAGAAAAACAAACGATTTGTATTTAGAGAACTGAAAGGGGCCATCGTGTTGTATCTCTTTGTAATGTCAGTTTGTTTCTTGTCTCTGTTGAAATTTGCAATTGAGCAAGTAGAAAGTGGTCTAGCAATTGCTTCGAAATGACTTGTGGTTTATGGAAATGGCCCGTCTCCAGTAAATTATCCATTACGTTTCTCTCTCTAACTTTTCTTTTGCTTGTTCTTTTTAGCTTAGGCAACTGTATCTTCAAATTCACAAGATTTCTTTATCTAGAAGGATCTCTTGAACGAATACTTCCCTCTGTCAATTGTTCCTTCCCGTTAATGCTAGTAGCTGGAACGTTTTTGCAACGGTAGTATTGTTAGGTGCAGCCAGTGCAGGCTAAGGCTCAGTTTGGAAAGAGTATAAATGCAAATATGTACAGTGCAAATGCATACAAAATATAAGGTTTTGTTCTTTACATATTTGCATTTGTACTCCTTTCAAACTAACTCTAAAGGACAAGCATACATGCCTTGAGTTTTCATTAAGTCTGTTTGGTAGAGTTTTCGTTTATTAACTAAAAGTTTGTATTTGATTTGTTTTTAAGACCAATAAAAGTAATAATCTTAACCGTCTATGAAAAATAGGCGCCACTGGGTGTTATTAGGCGTCATATCAGTAAAACAGTGAATAAATGACTAATTGGAGGAAATGTTAAAATGAAGTTTTTTTTAATGGTGAGCATGTACATAAATTAATGTTAGCTTTTGTGAGTATTTATGCGTATGGATCACTATGATAGGCTAAATGTTGATTTGGTAATGACATGATGACGTTTTGATAAACGCCTATCATGAAACACTTGCGAAATAAAACACATGCTAATTGACTCAATATATTGAAAATTTTTCAAATAGGATATACTCCATTGAATATACCTTTTGGCTTGACTCCATTGCACTTTAAACCACCTTCTATATTAATGTGAGTCACGTGACTTATTTAAATTTTTAAAACCTTTGTTTTGCCTCATTATTTCCTGTTCATTGCTGATTGCACTGACCCCACCTGATCGACGAAATGTTTGAAAAATGAGTTCAGTAAAAAAAACTCCTCCCCCACCCACATGCACACAGCACACTCCCCATCTGTCTAGTTTTTCCATGTACAATACGAAAGTTTTGCACAAAAGGTCATCAAACAATGAATCATCAGAACAAAAGCAATAACAGTATAAATCAAAAGGGAAAAATCATCTCTACCATGAAGTTAGCTGAATTTGAAGGTACAAAATGATGCTCAGCTATTGGGAGACTTCGTCTGCTGTTGTATGCCTTTTAGTAGACGTAGAGCGGTAGAGGGATGCAAACATCCGAAGATAAGGATGTCGAGGCTCGGAGATCGGGCTGTGTGATGGGTGCGAGTATCAATTTTTGAGGAGGAAATCCATGCTCCGCATGTCAAGAACTCTACCCATTTCAGCCGCACATGGGGAGATGTTCCCCATACATGGCTGTAGTGCCTTGTGCGTAGAGTTCTTGTGGTAGGAGATCCGGTATCATTATTTGCTACTCCCCTGATGTTTTAATGTTCAAATAATAGCCTTTTTTTCATTGAATCGAATTATGTTTGATCTTGAAAAACCGATAATCTAAATCAGTCGGTTCGGTTTTGGTTTGTATTTTTCCGACATTCAGTTCTTCGGTTCAGTTTCAATTAACCTACGTTCGGTTAACCAAACGAATCTACCTATTTTCCAATTATTTGCGACTGGTTTTTTAGAAGTTGTGAGTATCAAAGATTGAGTTGTTTTTATAATAAACATTAGTTATTAGGTTGTAGTTAGAAAATATTGTTGAAATGTTTTAATAAATCTTTGTTTTAGTGGTGGTGAAATATTAATTCTTTTTTTAATTTACGAAAAGATAAATTTATTTTTTGTTTACATGAAATTTGCATTAAAAAATAAAAAAAAAAACGGAATCATAACCGATTAATTTAAATTGGGTTTGGTTCGAATATTTTGTACTGGGTCGGTTAGGAAACACCCCTAGCTGTGATGTTAGTTGGATCAATTAAATGAGCCCAGATTTCTTACCCACTCTCTATCCGCTGTGAATTGCAGCCATACATCTCTTAATTCATAATAGAGATGTGTGGCTCCAATTCACGACGGATAGAGAGTGAATAAGAAATCCCAAGTGCAATGAACCACAGTAATAAAGAAAAATCAAACAGAATAGATAGGCACTTATACCTATCATGCACTTGGGGAGTATTTTGCAATTGGGAAGCTGTGACTCGAATTGTATATTAAAGGGGGGTTCGGTTTAGGAAAATTCACGTATTGCGTAGAGGGGTAGTTTCCATATTCCCACTGAACCGCTTAACATATTTTGATACACAAACATCTATTAAGAAACCTCTTCTTTTATATATATTGTTTCAAAAAAAAAAAAAAAGGTGCAAAACAAAAAAAGAAACGTTATTTACAGTATCCCCTTCTTTCCTTTTTTTGGCATCCCCTGAGTTTTATATACAGATGCTGGTGTTATCTCCGTCTACACTGTAATTGAGTCTTCCAGCCTCTCTCTCTCTCTCTCCATCGCCATTACAGTTCACAGTTCACACTGCTCTCTGCACCATGTCGACTGATATATCCTCCTCCCTTTCTTCTCTTACCCATGGAGTAGGTTTGTGGGCTATTATATGTGTTTTGATAGTTCTTGTGGGTCTTTTTGGCTCCTTGGCATGTCGACCTCGCGAGGATGGACGTACCAATTCCAATGTCGACAACAATGTTAACAAAGACGAAGAGAAAGGAGAAGAAGGAGAGAATGACAACAACGAGAAAGGAGGAGAAGAGAATGACAGCAACAAGAAAGGAGGAGAAGAGAATGACGAAACCAAATAACCTTTGCAAGGCTATATATCCAAGAAGTTTAGTTAAATGCCTAAGCAGCTTATATTAATTAGTTGGTGAGCTTCCAGATAAAGACTGACTAGACAATAGTAGCTTCAGTTGCGGTTCTTTGTTTTGTGGTTATTAATTACTACTCTTGGTTTTTAATTTCTTGTCATTGTTGATTAATCATTTATATATATATATATATATTGAATGGCTTTTGTTTGTCAATTGATATTCGTCATTCTTCTCTTTTGTAAGAAAGAGAAAGAGAGACATGTACTAATGTAAGAGGGCTGATTCTAATTTAGACTTGCTTACATTGTGCGCTTATGGGTGTTAACCAGATTATGATTTCACGACAGAAAAGTGCTTTCTCATCCAATTTAGGCTTTGGTTTCATTCAAATTGAACGCTCATGCATATTGGCAAGTGGTAACTCTCATCATATAATACAGCCCTCAATCAGAATGTAGCGCAACAGTACTCTCTAGAAACGCTTTTTGAATAAGTACTTATTGGAGAAGCACTTTTCTAGCTTTTTGTAAGGCGTGGCTTTTTTTTTTAAAGTATGAAAAGGAAAATCTATAATGCCCGACTCGTGAACAGGTCTATAGATGTATAAAATAATGCCAAAAGCTCACAGCCGATAAACTGGTATCATGAAAGAGATGATCTTAATCAAAATTCATAGTGATTCTTTGATTGATCAAAATTCTTTTCGGTATCATAGAATAAAACAAATCGTTTAAATTTTAAAAACAGAAATATAGAATTAGAAAAATTCAAATATGCTGCATACCAAAAAAAAGGAAACATTGCTGTTGTTGTAGCTTATTGTAGCATGAATATCCAAACGGAATTAATCCAACGTTAACTGAAGATGCTAAGAGATCTCCCAATTCCCAAATGAAGAACGTGATCCTAAGTTGCCATTCATGTTTTACAGCTGCTGAAGGAATCAAAGCGACAAGAATCCCTCCACAATCTTCTCCTTTTTTAATGCTCATGACGATCTAACCTCTAATACTTTGAAACCCCCCACAATATGTCCTCTCCCATCTTCCTTCCCCCTCTCCCTTCAGACTCGCTTCCTCCGGCGCCTCTACCTGCACCTCATTCCCCCCAACTCAAGAAAAACTCCGACCTAGCAGTAGTCTTCATCACCGTAGGTTTGCCTATAATAATTATTGCAGCAGCTCTGTGCAGAAGAAATAATACCAAGGTTAAACGCGTAAGTGATGGACGGAAGAATATCGAGACGGGACGAGAAGCAGAGGAAGAAGATTTGGAGGCGTCTCGGCGTGGTGTAGGGCCATCACCGGCATCTCCATTGCCGCAGGGAACTGAGCTTGTACGCTATCAAGTTGAAGTTGGTGCTAAAAGATCTGTCTGCGCAATCTGCATGGAGGGCTTCCGGCCATCGGAGTGGGTCCGTGCCATGCCCAGGTGTAAGCATGTGTTTCATTACCTCTGCGTTGATCCTTATTTGATCAGAGATCAGACGTGCCCCATTTGTAAAAGAGATTTCGCCAAAGAGTTCCCCACTGATAAAGCTGTTGTTGGTCTGTCGAGTTTTGTGAAGTCTGCGCACAAAAATCAGTAGCAGTGAAGTTCAGACCTTAGAGTTTTAACAATAAGAGGCCCAAGCAAATTAGATTTTCATGTTAATTCCCTCGATAACATTCTCTTTTCTGGTTTGAATGTTGTTTTTCTCTCCGCCTGTCTTCATCCAGAGCTTCAAGCTTCAAGTAAAGAAAAGTTTTGCATATATAGATGATCACTTGATTCCAGGCATTAGAGGAGCTGGGATCATCTGCCAACAAAATAAGTTCCAACACCCTATCAATAACATCTGACACCGCATATCTCATTATGAGACTGGAATCCACCATAAAAGTGGGACTATGATACATGAGAATTGAGATGTGTGATAGGATGTTGGAACTTATTTTGTATAAAGAGAATTCAACTGGGAATATGTTTGGTAAGCATGGCCCAGGCTTAGCACCTATGTTAAACATAGGCTAAAGGCTCAGTCCGGACTCGTCCAAATCTAATAGGCACAGCATTGTAATCACATTGAATGAGCAAAAATTAAATATTCTGCACTTTGTATTAATCAATGTACCTATAGTGTGTGCCTACCCGACCCGGTCTTGGTCGGTATCTGGCCTGACCCAGCTCAGACACTAGGCCTGAAATATGAGCCTGGGCTGGGTTACAGACCTCTGGATTGGTTATTGGTAAACTAGACATTTCCAAATTGCGATTCTGTGAATAAGCTGAAGGCAATAGCTGTTTAATAATCTGTAGAACCAATAGTAAGAGCTTCGATTTGCTACCCACAAGTTGTCTCTACTTCCTATATCTCTTTTGTCATTCATGGGAAGATGTTCCCACTACATGGTGGTGATGATGATGTGGGAACAACTAGTGGGTAACAGATCCCAAGTGCAATAATAAAGCCCTACACCGATCATAAAAATACATAGATGATAGAACCCACAATCTTATTGGCATGGGGCATTATCATTAATTATTTCCGTCAGCCTGCTAAATAGCCATCAAGCTACATGAAACTTTTGGATACAAGAGGCCTGAATGGTTTTTCATTCCCTACTTTCAATGGTTTTGTTTTACTTGAATTTGAGATTACCAGCTGTTTAGCCATATTTTTCTCTCTTGATCTTATTTTTAGACATCGAGGAAGATGGAAGGAAGTAGAGTAAAATGTACAAAACAAAAGTTTGCTTAATAATTTGCTTTGTGCAATTACTAGTTGATTTCGTTGCCCTGTCTTAGGTGTTCTAGGCTTAATTTGGAAAGAGTACAAATAAAAATATATATAATATAAATACATACAAAATAATACAAAGATACAAGGTTTTGCACTCTATTTAGGCTCCGTTTGATTTGCAGGAATAGGGGTTTGGAATCAGAATTGGAATGGCTTATTCCAATTCCAACTGTTTGATTAAACGGAATCGAAATCTCATTATCATTCCTACTGGAATGGCATTCCCCCATTTGAGGGAATGATCATTCTTTGTCCCTCCCTTGAGAATGAAATCTCATTCCCATTCATGTTTATATCAAACAAACTATAGGAATGGACCATTCCTATTCCAATTCTGCAGAATTTCGATTCTAATTCCGATTCCAATTCCAACTATGAACCAAATATACTCTTATTTGTATTTATACTCCTTCCAAACTGAGCCTGATATTCAAATGTCTGTCCTTCCTTTACACTACACGTACGGATGGAAATAAGATTTGATTTGTTTTCTGTATGTGAAAGTGAAGCAACGTACCTATGTTAGATGCCTTCCCAAGCCATCAAGAATCCAGCGACGTGGTTATCAAGCCACTAACCTGCATACCTGGTTCAAACCTTCAATGGAGGATTATCCAGTACCTCAGAACTAATCCTAGGGAAAAATAGCAAAGGAGAATGGCAGATTATCGGTGGAGTACTACATTTATAAAACGTAGAGTTGTGTTGACTTGACTCGCTAATCCGCAATGAGTGAATATGAGGTATTTTGTATGCCCATGACCCATGGTACAAGGGAGAGTGAAAATAGGGCTATCAGTTTCAAACCAATTCTTAATCCGGACAAAATTACATACCTAAAACCATCCCAATTATTTCAGATTCAGATCTAATTATACTTAAAAAAACTATATTTATTTATTTAAATATTCATTTTTTGATAATATAATCATACTAAAAATAATAAAAAAATTAAATTATTTATATATTATTAAATTAAATATTTTTAACTAATATTATCTTATTTATCATTTATTAAATTTATCATTTCAAATGATAAAAATTAAAAAATATATATATATATATATATTTAATAAAATAATCGATTTATAACGACAAAAAACCAGAACCGACTTAACTATTAATGGGATAAAATCAAAGAACCAAAACTATTATAATCGGTTTCATTGGTTCGGATCCATGACCCGACGCAGTGAGGATGGGGAGGGTATTGTCATTCCCAAGGAAACTTCACGTGGGAAAATGGCTTCTTCGCCCTCATTGGGCGTCATGTCCACATGACTGACCGAGTACGGACTATGGAACCCCATGCTAGTGACAACTGTAGTCCGACCCGCCAAACCGCATGTTATAAACAAATGGGTCAGCATATTATTAATAAATGGGTCAACATGACTCACATGTCAGGGTGTGGACTGTGGAGAATGGAGACATTGCCTATTTGCCACTCAACAATATATTGAAATAGAATATTGGCTCTCCAGAGTCCAACTCAATTGGTGGGACCGGGACCGGGACCATTGCCACCTGTCATGTATATAAGTAATACCTATCATAAGCAAACTGCAAACAGACATCTAATGATCTAAGCGAAGCGCCGGAAGATGGTGTTCACTTTCAGCTCTCCTTCTCAACCTTCTCCTCCTCCTTCCCCTCTTTCTCCAATTGGTGTCATCGCTCTCCTCGTCATCTATGTATTGATATCTTACCTGGTGATCGTCCTCGAGTCTCTCGGTGATGGAAATAGGATAAATGGTGTAGAAGGCAGAATCAATACCGGAGCTCCACGCAAAGCAGGATGTAAGAATTCTGGCATATCTCTGGATGAGCTACAGAAGATCCCTTGTTCCGGCCACGGCCATGGATGGAGACGGAGCCAGAGCCAGAGCTCCGGTTGCGCAATTTGTTTGGAGGGAATTAGACCTGGAGAGCAGTGTCGGGTTCTTCCAGGTTGCACCCATGTATTCCATGTGGAGTGTGTCGACCCTTGGTTGACGAGGAGTCTCACCTGTCCGGTTTGCCGGACCCGGTTCAATATCAGATACAGTTTGGAGGTGGCCCAGTCCTACGTTGTTGATTCTGTGTAGACTATAGAGTGAGTCACCGAGTTGCATGCATCAAAACCTTTCTTTCTTTATTTATTTCTCGAAGCCAACCTTAATTTCTTCTCTTTGCCCTTCTTGATCATGCAACTATATAGCAAGGTTGATGTAGGGTATCCTGAACTTAGGATAGTGATACTTAGAGGGGCCTGAACTTTTAAATACCATATTTTAGTTTTTTTTTTTTTTTTGGTAATACACATTTTAGTATTTTAAACTTGCACTTGAGTCCAATTCTCTTAAAATTAAAATTACGAGGAAATCTTTTTCTGGATTTTGAGAGGAGAAAAGTTGGTCAATGGGATTTTGATTCCCATCCTATTGACAAAGAAATTCATGTTATTTTTTCATATTTATGTAAGGATAATTGAAAGTTTATTTTCCTCATCTTCTAGGTGGGTAAATACCTTTTCCACTCAAGCCCCATTTGCTTTTCAGTAAGTTATTTATCCAGGTAAGTGCAATTACTTGGCTAAGTTTTTCCTAGGAAATACTTACTCGGGTAAGTGCATTTATCCATGTTCTTTTATTTCTCATGTAAATAAGATAATGACCATTTTAGCCATAAAAATTCATTATTAAAAGGGGTATTTTTGTCCCATTCAAGTGCTGGCAACTTTTGCCCTAGGTGGGAAAGTTATTTATCCACCTAGGAGATGGGTATAAGTGATACCAAGGAAAATAAATTTTCCCTGATTCTCACATAAATCTGAAAAAAGAATATGGGATTCTTGGTCAATGGGAACCAAAAATCCCATTAGGGAGAAAATGAATGCCCCCTTAGGGGGAAAATTGCCAACATTGTTTTTTGATGTGCCAAATTGTCAACACTTGAATGAGACAAAATGCCCCTTTTAATATTAGATTTTTATGATTAAAATGGTCATTGCCTTATTTACATGGGAAATAAAAGAACATGAGTAAATGTACTTGTCCGAGTAAGTCTTTCCTAGGAAACATTTATCCGGGTAAATACATTTTACCTAGGTAAGTAACTAACTGAAAAGCGAGTGGGGCCTAAGGGTAAAATTTTTAGATTAAGGCATATTATTTTGTAATGGGAAGCCCAACCAAACGGGCCTCAACACAATGAGTCGATCCATCAATGGTCGGTTTTGTCTTTTGTAAGAGTGAGGGTGGATCGGACCTACGGCTACGGTGGTCTAGCAAACTTTGTTGTACCATTTGTTGTAGTAGGGATCTCATCTCAACAAGTTCCCCTAATTACGAAATCTTCGACCCTCGGAGTGATATCAGGAATCAGGATCCCGTTACGCACAGTTAGTTATATTTCCCGCTAACAAAGAGCAGAAATAGCAATAGCTCTTGATGAAGGGAAATTTGGCCCGACCTCGCGATCGCCCGACACGTGGCAAAGGCAAGTAGCTCGGGACAGTAGAGCACCCAAAGCGAACATTGGAAGCAAGTCCAAAACTCACTACCGAGCCCGAACTCCAGACCGTTGTACTTAGTCCGAGCTCCTTGTTAAGAGCGAGCTCCCTGTCAAAGGTCCGAGCTCCCTAAAACC